GAGATATCAAGAAGTAATTAACTGAAAAAATGTTAATCATAATATCAGTAACATTTTGTCTTTTTGATATCTTTTGAGGGAACCGAGATATATGAGATCAAAGTTTGGGTGGGCATCAATCAGAGGAAACACGGTATTATGCACTTTTAAATTCGAAAAAAGTTCTCATAAGTTTTGCGCTTATAAAAATCCGCATGAAATGAGTTCCCACATTCTTTTCTCTTTGTCTCATTTTCCTCCCGTTGTGTTAATTACGTGTTCGTTATGCACTAATGTGTCTAGCGGTACCAGGTGTTCGCCCCCCGAAAAAAAAGAAAGACAGATTGAGAAATTATGAATTATATGAGACATGCGAAACAAGGATCGAAGAATTTAAAAAAACCCAAAATTTGAAAAAGTTTCCGAAAATTCTAGAATCTTCCAAAAATGATTTGTCATGATGATTTGCAGGTGTCAATCACTATGGGGGAGACAGGTGGAATCATTTGCGATTTGAGAGTTTTTTACAACAAAAGTCGGATTAATTTTTTATTAATAAGGCTAGAAGACCGGTGCTATTTTTGTAGAAAACAGTGGTGACGACATTTAAACTTTCAGAGTTTGCAGATTTTTGACATGACGTTGATTTGTCATACTAGAGATGTGGGCAGAAGAATATAAAAGGTTCCTAGGGGCACGGATTTGCGCGGTTCATGAAAAAGGCTACAGTAATCTGGGTATGAGTTATGGAGGGATTTATTGTGTGTCGGTGTTGTTTTTTATATTTGTCCAGATGTCCAAAATACCAGATCTTTCAAAAATGCGATGTCCAAAATTTTCTTTCAGGACCAAAAATATACCTTTTTGAAAAAAATAATCTTGATGATTGACATCTTTACCAGGCTCTAGAGTATATTTCCTAAAAAAGAATTTCCGCATCTTTCGATTTGTCTGAAAATATCAGATCATACTAATCAAAAATAGAGCTTCAATTTTGTAATTGACAACTTTTTCACCAAATTCCATTCTGAAGAGATATGCCTGAAATGCCAAATTTGAACCCTGAAATGAAACACCATAAACACTCTCTAGAGTGCCACCTAAACCGTTTGCATTGAGCCCATTTACCTCAGTTCCTGTAAGAGATATCAGAAAGTGGTCAACTAATGAAATGTTTATCATAATATCACAAATGTTTTATCAGTTAACTAATTCTTGATATCTTGTGCAAGAAATGAGATATACAGCTTCAAAGTTAATGGCTTGGGTGGCGCTCCATTCTAGTGTTTACGGTATGTCCCAGTTTGAGGCCGCTTATCTCGTTTTTTTTTGGGTTTTTACAAGAAGTTGTCAAATACAAAAATGATGCTCTATTTTTGTTTACTATTAGTTTACTCTGAAATTTTCAGATAAATTGAAAAAAATTTAACTCCATTTTTAGGATTTCGAAATTGACCTTCTTTAATAAAATGAAGAAAATCTAATGGTTTTTTAAGACACCAAAAGTTGGATACGTTTCTTTTCAATCAATACGATAGATTTTTTTAGTTTCTTGATTTTTAGATTATTTCAGGAAACACAAGGTACCATAACCATCAGCATTTTCCAAACTTTTTAATTTCCGTTCCATGACCCAATTCACCGGTAAATGGTCTTCTTCTAGAACCCATCCACTTCACCTTTTAAAAAACATGAGACAGAAGGAAGAATGATGGGATTAACGGGCATATTATTATCACAACATCCAAGAAACAGATGCTGCCGAAAGGGTCCCGACCGCCCATCGTCGGGGGATTACGAGGCGAAACATGGTGCATCGTCAATAGAGGAAGAAAGGTGTATGTATAAATCTGTCGGCATTTGTCTCTTTGCTCTCTTTCTGTGTCTATACAAATTGTCTAACGAGGTAATATAAATTGGTGTCGGTTAGGTATCTAATCGCTTTTTTGAGGTTAAGAGGAAAAGAGATTGATGAGATATATGAAGGATAATAGGAAGGAAGAAAGGGCGAGGATGATTGTAATGGTGTGTCATCGATTTGGATATTTCTTTTTTGAAGAATGAACAGAGGGACCGTAGTTTTTGGAATAAAATTTCTGCTAGTCTAGAAACTTCTAAAGAGCAAATAGAGGAGACGACATCGTAAATTTTGCTGTCTAGCAGCATGATTGAAGCTAGATAAAAACTATCCGATTTCAGCAAAAAATGAAAGTTTTAATAATTGGATTTCAAAGGAATCAGAAAATCATATCGTAAATTTTTCTGTCTAGCAACATAAAGATAATTAAAGAAAGATTGAAAAATACCGTATTTCAGCCAACCTTGAAGAACGTAGAAACAAAGTTCGATGGAACCAAAAAATTGAATCAAAAACCTTATGCTTAATACCAGGCTGTTGGTACTTTTATGAGGTAGTGGTACCTGAAATGTATCAGAAAAGTGATTTTTTTCTAAATTTCCACTTTCCCACCTCAAAAAACTCACAAAAAATGTTCGATCCCAGAAGATCCGAACTTCTGACCTTTCTTCGCAAAACCAACTCTCTTACCACCTGCGCCACCCGCATGTGGGAACCTCGGTAGCTCAACGCGGGATAGATTTGGTGCGAAGTGTCAGAAGTTCGATTCTTTTGGGGTTTCTTAATTCGGAGAAAACAAATTTTCCCTAATTGAAAAGCTATAATTTGGGGAAAATCTTCAGAAAGACTTATATGATCGGAGAAGAGCGGTAGAGAAACATTTCTGGAAGTTGGAAGAAATTCGAACTATTCTGGAGATTTCGAAACCAAGAATCACCTGGAACTTGAAAAATTTTCAAGTTCATCAAGTAGGCGGAGCCTCACTTTAAAAAATGATCACATAAATTTTGAATTGACCAATTTCAGAACAAAACTTCCTGGTTCAACTGACATAACTAATCAACCAAACCTCTCCTTTTTTTTCCAACTTTCTACAGTAATCACTTTCCTTTCTATTACTTTAAACATCCCATACTGGTAAAGGACCGGTGATATTTTTTCAATTTTTGAAACTTCAATTTTTTTACTAAATGGGGAAAAACAAGCCGGGCCCTGATTTTTCAAGTATGCTATATCCATCTCACGCTTTTTAGCCTTTTGAAATTTTCAAAATCAGATTCAGGATTCCCTAATTCGGTTTGTCTGAAGAGTAACCAATTCAGCTCATCATGAGTTGTCAAAAAGAAGAAGAAGACGAAAAGGTCCTTGAAATATTAAAAGTCGTGTAAAATTGAGGATTTACAAGTAACTGGAGGTAACCAATACGAGATGAAGAAGACACCGAATTATAAGGTTTTGGAGAAAGATTGATTTTGACGAGAAACGAAAATGGGAAAAGTAAGAGAAAAAACATCAAGGGTGTAATTTGAAAAAGAATAGGAGAGGAACTTTGTTTGAATAAAAGTGGGGTTGGTTTATAAAGGGTTACGGTAGTTTGAAAATGACTGGAATTGGAAAATACAGAAATTGAAGTAAGCTGAAGTACTATTAAAAAGTGAGAATGACAAACTGTAGAGCTATAAAAATGAATCGGATTTTTTATGAGTTTTAAAAAACCGATTTTTCTGGACCCATCAATCATGTCACAACATTTACAGCTGGGGCACTTTTATTGGAGGTTTTACAGTTTTTTCGTAGAATCTGGAAATCACCATAAACACTTGTAGAATGCCACCCAAGCCGTCAACTTTGAGCTCATATATCTCATTCCTCGTGAGAGATATCAAAAAGTGGTCAACTGACAAAATATTTTTTTAAAATTATGATTTACATTTTATCAATTGATCACTTTTTTTAAAATATATTTCATAGAGACTGGGATAATTGAGCTCCAAGTGCAAGCATAAGGTTGACTTCTATTATTTCAGAGATTTTACGATCTTTAATTTATTGCTCACCGAAGTTTTCCAACCCTTTTCCGTTAATTCATCAATTCCTTCAGAGCTAATAAACTTTTTAATTGTGATTTTTAAAGTTCGAAATTCCTTCTGCTCTCTCTATTGTGTACCATATGGCTTTATATGAGTTGGCATGGGGTGCAAATGAAGAAACTTTTATTACTAACCATCCGGTAGGCCACTTTGAGTAATAAAATTAGTTGAGATGCCAGGAAAGAGGATCAGATTTATAGTTTTAGGGCTTCCGGTGGTTTGAATGCGGATCGAAATTTGAATAGGAGGGATTTGCAAACACGAAAAAATGGTTTTAGTTTTAATAATCAGCTAATCAGATCATCAATGCTTACGGCATTTCCTCTAATAGAAGCCCACCCAAACTATCAATTTTGAGCTCAATTATCTCAATTCCTATAAAGGATATCAAAAATTGGTCAACAGATAAAATATTAGTGACATTATGATAAACAATTTTTTAGTTGACAAATGTTTTATATCTTGCATAGGAATTGAGATAACTGAGCTCAAAGTTGATAGTGTTGGAGCCATTCTATTACAAGTTTTATCGGTAATTAGGTCATAAATTTATTAGACTTCAAAACTAACAAAATTGAGTTTCGAAATTTCTGAACAGTTTTTTTTTTTGAAATTTCTGAAATGAATGGAATTGATAAATTTTTACAAGTTCGAGAATTCTATTCGGTCGAATATGCGAAATTCTGCCAGAACACCTAAATCTTGGTTTCTTTGAACGCAACCAATCATTTTTATGGACACCTTTTCTTTTCGAAAAGTAGAAGGTCAAAATGTCGAAATTGGATGAGACAGGTGTCTCCAGAATGAGCACCTTCTTCCAAAAAGCGGCAATAAACCGAATGAGAAAAGAGGTGCCATCTTTTATATATTGTCATATTAGCAGGTGTTACTCTTGAAGACGTAATTCGGAAAAGAAGAAGAAGAAATTAGACATTTGGAAATAAAGAACAAGAAAAGGATCACAAGAAGGGAGAAGCTATTAAAAACAATTAGGACTTTTGGATGAATTATTCATTTTGAACAAGAAGCTACTTGTTAGGGAGAGAGCTAATTGTTTTTTATGTCAATTTCGATTAGAAACATTTTACGACTCGTGACGAACGAAATTTGAAGAAGGGAACATTAATTTGAATATTTGGAATACTGGAGAATGTGGAAGTTGGCAAGTATGAGAGCAAAAAACATTTAGGTTGCAAGAAGCCAGACTCATTTAGAGAAGCCACCTGAAAATGTTTCAATTCTTGGAAGTGTTACTAATGTTATGAATAATTCTGAATCTTCAAAAATCAGAAGTATCAAGAAATTTCAAAAATATAGCGAAAAAAACTGTGTCCGTTAGATTGGTTCAAAGAAAAAACTACAGTGCTTCTGATTTTTTGCTCTAATAGAAGCCCACCCAAACCGTTCACATTGAGCTCAATTATCTCGGTTCCTATAAGAGATAACAAAAAGCTGTCCACTATCAAAATGTTACTGATGTTATCATAAACAGTTTATCAGTTGACCACTTTTTTATATCTTTCACAGGAATCGAGATAATTGTGCTCAAAGTAGACGTTTTGGGTGGACTTCTGCGAATACGGTATTTGATTGTACTTTAATCTTCAGAAGTCAAATTTTAATACTGGGAACTTTTCGGAACCTGATAAGAGAGGATAGCCCCTGATTTGAGCACTATCTCCCTTGTCTCATAGAATTTCATAAAAATGAACAAATTTGTTTCACATGGACCTGAAAACTTTAAACAATTTGTATCTACTTTTGTAGATCACACAAGTTACCTTTTCGGAAAGTTATGTTGAGCAAATCCATAAGATATTTGATTTATACTTTATGTGTTGGTTTTTCCCGCTCGAAGAGTCAACTTCGAGCTCAACTATCTCGATTTGTGTAAAAGATATCAATTTTTTGTTTACTAATAAAATCCTTATCATCTTATGACCAATATTTTATCAGTTCACAGAATTTTGATATCTCTTATTGGAACCGAGATAAATGAACGCAAAGTTGATGATTTGGGAAGGCTTCTTCAAAATCGAACGATTTTTTTTCCGTATGAACCTGACATTTTTTGAAAACTTTATCTACTGTTGTAGGCATGATAAATTACACTTTGTCAGAGAAATCGATCAAAACTTTTCAAAACTCCAGAATCAATCGAAAAGTCGAAACCAAGGAAATATGATACATTTGATCTATCTTCTTTTTAATAATAACCTTCCCCTTAAACGTCCTTGATGCACACACCCATCCACTCAATTTCAATTCTTCTGATTTCCTATTCTCCCAATAAAGATGAGAAAGACATATAGAACACGATATAAAGTGTCAACTTATTCAGAAAAACGGAGAAAAGTCTAATTGGATTAAAAGTGACACTTTCCTATCCCATATATTCCTACTATAGAGACCCCTATAAAAAACGTCTAAAAAGAATGACCGACGCGGAATACTCTGCGGGATATCGCGGCTTCTTCTTATTCTTTTTTGGTTTGATGAATTGGATAAAAAAGTTAAAAATGTATATAGGTGAAGGAAGTGATAAATGTGAGATAGAGCGGATAGGAATAGGTGGGGAACAGGTAGGGGTACAGATTCATAAAATTTCTGATGTGGGGTCTGTCTGAAAATTTCTCTTGGGCCATTGAAAACCTAGTACCGAGGTATTAATTCCCCCACAATGTCAAGTTTCAGCCAATTTATCTCGAATCCTGTAAGAGATATCAAAACGTTGTTAACTGACAAATTTTTTATCATAATATTACAAAGATTTTTCTAGTCAGCTTTTTATTGATATCTTTCAGGAGCCAGGATATATGGGCTCAAAGTTGTAAACTAGGGAACCAATCTATTAAAGTGTTTACGATAGATTACAATTGCTGAAACGTTGTATTTGATATCGTTTTCATAATAATTCATGAAAATAAGTTCTATTTTTTCAGAATTTCAGAATGTCAGAATTTCAGAACTTCGGAATATCAGAATATCAGAATTTGAGAATTTTGGAATTTGAGGATTTCGGAATTTCAGAGTTTCAGAATTTCAGAATTTCAGAATTTCGTAATATCAGAATTTGAGAATTTTGGAATTTGAAAATTTCGGAATTTCAGAGTTTCCGAATTTCAGAATTTTGGAATTTTAGAATATTGGAATTTCAGTTTTCAAACCTTTGAATATTGAAGATTCTCATTTCCTAAGTTTCCTGGAATTAAAGATTTTAAGAATTGTGTTTCCCTAAATCCTTGGAATTTCTAAAATTTCCATTTTTTCGAGATTTCCTGCAAAATATCAGCATTCCGAAAATCGAAGATTTTTAGTTGTTTTTTTTTCAATTTTCAGATTTTTTGAAATTCTGAATTTTTGTTTCCGCATCATTTTTTAGAAATTCGGAATTCTATTCTGTTAGTCTGAAAAATGATCAGAAAAGGTTATTGTTTTCATACTTCACACAATCGAGTCGTTACGGGACACAATGTTCCTTCAAACAAAACTCATAGTCAGACATATTATGCCAGCTTGTAACATCCATTATTTCAACCCAAACCGTGTGACAGGTTATTTAACTTTTCTTCTTCTAAAAAACTCTTCTACAGTATTCAGCCCCTGTCATTCTTCTCATTTAAGGACATAATTAGACATGATCAGAAAGAGAACCAGTCCTAAGAACGGAGGAGTTTAATTGAAATGAGTCTTCGTTTTTCTTTTCCGTAGAAGAAGGAACAGTAATCATTTATATAAAGAGAGAAGGCGATGGGTTTTGTGACCTTCCTGGACAGAGATGGTGTAATTGACTATTGTTTTCATTGGATTTGATTGATTTCAATTTCGGATTGAGATGAGAAACGAAATGAAATGAAATGAACCTAGCAAAAAAAAAAACTAATTGTAAACTAGAAAATTAATTGAAAGTTTGTGAAAAGAAGAGGATTCGAATTCAAAAAAGACAATTGCACAGGGAGAATTCATTTAATTGATCATATATGCTTGAATAAATATACCCGGATACAGTAACAAATATGATAAATTATGGTTTTTTTCTCAATAGCAATCTTTAATCTCGTCGTCGTTTCCATGGACACTCAACGATGCCAGCATTTCTCGAACGATCACAACCGACTCGTTCTCCTGTACCACATGCTCTTCGTACAGCAAACGACGAACGTAACGGCCGATCCAGCGGTCCTGAAAATTCGAAATGTTTATTCATGTTGTGGTTTTTGAAGGGGGGACTCCGACCAAAATTTTTTATTTCATTAAAATGTGCTGAAAATTATCTATTTTCTTAATATAGCGAAACAATTCAAAAAATCCGACATTCTTGAAGAACGCCGTTGAAAACAGGAAAAAAGTTTAAAAAACGGTGCATGAGAGGAACGATGATTTGCAGTAAGAAACCTAGGCCACGGCGTCTGACAGACATTTTTTCAAGCGGCTCCGCTGGCGTGGCCTAGATTTCTCACTGCAAATCCTCGTCTCTTCAGGGCACTTTACAAAAAATGCCTATTTTCCACGGCGTTTTTCAGGGATTTCAGATTTTTGCAAAATTTTTAGACCTTTTTAGGTTTTTCAGCTGTTTTTAAATTCTTTTCTCGATTCTTCTTTTTTCGATTCTTTTGAATTTTTTGTCTGAAATTTGGCAGGAGGGTGTTCGCGAAGATTACTGTAGATTACTGTAGAAAATCTTGTATGTTGTAGTTTTTTCGCAAACACAACCACGTCAAAATGCAGACAGAAAACAGTGGCAAAAAACACTACAAAAGGAAATAACTCTTATACAGTCATCTACAGTAATCTTCAGGAAAACCGTTCCATCAAATTTCAGACAAAAAGAAAAGAAAAATCGAAAAAGAATCTTCAAAAACAGCTGGAAAACCTAAAACGGCCTAAAATTTTGCGAAATTTTTCAGAGTTTTCAATTTTAGAAGGATTCAAAAAGAAAGTTTCGAGAACATTCCAATGGACGAGAAGCAATTTTTCGAGATTTTGCCAATTTTTTTTGAATTTATTCTTTTTTTTCTATATGAATCTACATATTTTCTATACTGGCTGTCAATACTCTTACATTTTTATATTCGGTTAACATATCTATCATGGTATCCTTCAAATTCAGTTTCGACATTGCTAGCTCCGCTAGTTTCAACGCCTCCTGCCGCATATCCATTCCATTATCTGAGAGTCCAGCTTCCAGATATTCCACAATTTCCTCTCGAGACAAAGTTCCAAAAATCATTGGTGAGCATAGATAACGCATGCAAACGAGCTTAGGAGCCGGATCCGCCGATTCTAGAATATAGAAACGAAGGAGGTCATCAGGAATTCCACCGTAATGATCACGCATCAGTTTCAACACCATCGACATAACGTACGGAGAGTTTCGGCTGCTTTTGGAGAGCGCTTGAAGGTCCTCTGCAAAAAAAACCATTTTTGGATGTAATTACTGTAAATACTCTAATAGAAGACCACTTGTACTTTGAGCTCAATTATCTTGATTTCTACAAGAGATAACAAAAATGTGTCAACTGATCAAATGTTTGTCGTAATATTATCAACATTTTATCAGTTCACACATTTGTTATATCACTTACAGAAATTGAGATAATTGACCTCAAAATGCAAATATAGGGTGGTCTTCTATTAGAGTGTTTACGGTGATTTGTGAGAAAAATAGTTTAAAAAACCAACCGCTCTCTGGCAAAAAGCACGGGAAGATATACGCGATTTCTAATGCTGTATCCGTCTGCTCCCATTCGGATTCCAACGCAGAAGTGCGAATCATATCGGTCAGACGAGCACGAAGACGATTCTTGAATTCACTCAGCTCTGGACGACTAAATATATCTGGACCGTAGACACGACTGAGCTCACGAAGAAGTAAGCTGGATTCCAGAACACGGGCACCAAGGGACTCGAAAAGTGTAGCGATTTGCTGGACGGTGACACGTGGAGCCAATTTCGGCAGAAGCTTTGACAACTCCGGAATTCGGACTTTATTCTCCACCTTGACTTCCTCATTCAGCTGTTCTAAGAATGTCTTCACTTGCTTTTCACTCATTCGATGAAGAATTTTTGTTTTGTGATGAAGTTTGACGGCTGGGGAATAGAGAAGTAGGTCAACGAGTTGATCCACATTTTGAACTCGTTCATCGTTTCCACCATCACTGAATGCCATTATTCCATGACATGGATCTGGATTTGATTCGAGAAGAAAGCAGATGAGATCCACACGATTTGATTCACACTGCCAGGTGCCTGGTGTCAATGGGATCGTTAGCGTTTGATGGAGTCTGGAATAATTTTCGCGACTTCTGAATTTCAAAATCCCAGTAGGACTTACTCTTTCAACTTTACTAATAACCTCAACGAATTCTCCCCGATTCTCGCTGCATTCCTGATACTTTCCACGTAGCTGTGCAGTTCCTCCACCTCCAAATCATCGGAGTACCGGTCTAGAATTCTGGTGACAACGTCGACAATGAAATTTGATTGTTCACCGCGACGCGTTCGGCGAATGAAAATCTCCACGGCTCCAGAGATAATAAGAAGACGTCGAGCATCGGACGATTGTAGTTGGCAGATGAATGTTTGGTATTGGCGACGGAGGAAAACAGACGTGCTGTCATCATCAATTTCGTTGATTGCCCATCGGATTACAGCTAAAAAATTTTGGGATTGTTATACTGTAAAGATATTGCTGGTACAAAAAAAATATCAGAGCTGTGGACGAGAAACGCCGGTGGCCGCGGCCGAAAGTCCCGCAACGATAACTACCGTATCCAAAAAATTTAGCGATTTTTCGAGCGAAAAGCGGGAAATTTTTAGACTTTTTTTAAGGTTTTTCAGCTATTTTCAAAGATTTTTTTTAGATTTTTTTCGGTTTTTTGTCTGCAATTCGATGGAACGGTGTTTTGGTAACTGAAGATTACTGTAGAAAACTAATTTCCTTTTTTGTTTTTTTTGTCTGCAAACACAATCACGTCAAGATGCAGATAAATTTTGCTCGCAAAAAACCACAAAATACAAGAGTTTCTACACTAATCTACAGTAATCTTGAGCACCATCCCGTCAAATTTCAGACGAAAAATTCAAAAGAATCGAAAAAGAACCTTTAGAAATAGCTGAAAATCCTTGAAAGGTCTAAAAATTTTGCAAAAAAAACGAAGAAAAAGCCAATTTTTTTTCTCAATTTTCGTGCAGTTTTCGTCACTTTTATCCCGATTAAAAACTTTGATTTCGCGACTTTTCTGGAGGACAATAACAGAAAAACCGACAAAAATCAATAAAATAAAACGAGAAAACGAATCAGGGAAATAGAAAATTTTAGGTTACGGTAGTTATCGTTGTAGGACCTTCTCCTCCACAGCTTTTTGACTTACGAAGCCACGCATCTGGTTTCCGAATCGCAAAAACCTCGGGTCTTTGATAAAATCTGAACAAATCGTCGAGCAGTTTAGGCGGACGAGCTTGTGGCAGAAGATCCTCACTTCCTTGAACGAATTCTAGAAGCAATTCGTCATCGTGGAACTTCTAAACACACAAAACAACTTTTTTTTCTGAAATTCGAATTCTCCTAACTTTTTTCACAATAGCCGCGTCTAGCAGGCGAATGATCATCTGAATCGGAATGCATCGGCTCTCGAAATCAATACTTTTCACAAAGTTTCGAACAACTATTATGCTACTTTCTTCAAATTCAATGCTATCAACAAGCTTATCGATAAGTGTATCATCGAACGAGTGTGGCATTTCATCGTAAATCGAGCAATTGTTAACGAGGCGTTCCAGTAGTAGATCAAGAGATGACATTTCTGTGGCTGGAAAAAAAGTTAGGCCACATTTCCAAGCGCACAGGCAAAAGTAGAGAACGCCTTGCGAATTTTAAGCAAATTTTATGTGATATAGGATACTATGGATTTTTCATCTTTATCTTTATTATTTACAAACGATAAATAAAGGTGTGAGAATCTAGAGGTAAGATCTACAATTTAGCCTGAAGAGCAGCTTCGATGTCCTTCTTCATGTCCTTTGGCTCGGTGGTTGGCGAGAATCTCTTGATGACGTTTCCATCGCGTCCGACGAGGAATTTGGTGAAATTCCACTTGATGGCGTCAACCAAGAATCCTCCCTTCTCTTGCTTCAGGAACTTGTACAGCGGATCGGCATTATCTCCGTTAACATCGATTTTTTGGAAGAGAGTTGGCTCGAACTTGAACTTGTCGGCGACAAATGCGGCGATGTCGATCTCACAAGATGGTTCCTGGCCTCCAAATTGGTTGCAAGGGAAGGCGAGAACCTCGAGGCCGTCCTTCTTGTAGCTGAAAATCAGATGAATATAGCATATCACGGGACATTTTAGGATTTACACATCGAGCAACTCCTTGAACTGGTTGTAGTTCGAGTTGGTGAGCCCGCACTGGGAGGCAACGTTCACAATGACGAGCACTTTTCCTCTGAAATTAATGTTACAGTTAAATTTTATGAACCACTCAGTGAGTGGTACTCACTGGTAATTAGAGAGTGGAGTATCCTCCCCCTTTGCGTTTTTGACAGTGAATCCGTGAACAGAAGACATAGCTGTGGTGAACGAGAAGAAACGACGAGCGGCTGAAAACGTTTTGCTAGAAATGGCTATTAGACAATTGAAAGCAAAAAGTTAGTTGAATGGAAGACGAGAAAGAGAGCTAAACGAGATGGAGAGGGTGTCAGATGTTATAATTCAGAGGTGGAAATGTTGCCATGGTAACTCTAGTGATCATACGGGAAAATCAACTGACCTGGCAACATTTTCCACCTTTTTTCCTCTTTTTCTTTCGAATTGAGCAAACTTTTTTCTTCTGAAAAGCTCTTGGGGATTAACGTTAGAAAATGAATAGAAACGAGATATTTAATGAAGAAATAAGATATATTTGTGTCGTTTTTCAAAAGAAAACAACTGATTAGCAAACGAGAGAAATTGTAAAATGAACGATAATTTTTTCGAAAGAACAAAAACATCAAAAATAACAATAAACAGCAACAAAAACAGGGGAAAACCAAAACGGGAAAATTTCTATGTGGAAAGAGATAAATATTTGGCCACATTCTTCTTCATCGCCTTCTTCTTCTTTCCGACACTCGTCGGCATCTCGGGTTGTTTCGAATTTTTGGCGGCTTTCTGGAAAATAGATTCAGGTTAAATAGTGATATTTTAAATGACGAAATATAATACAAAATACGCCACTAGGGATCCGAAAATGATGAGATTTCAAAGAGTCTAGAAGTTCTTTGTCAGCAAAAGTTTTTCGATGTCTCCGAGTGAGACGCAAATGGGCGGCTACATTGTGGTGGTGCTCTAGAGACGGCAGGCGGCGAGAGGAAATTGTTTACTTGCATTTTTTCAAGGGAATAACAGAAAATAACATAGGAAAAAGAGTGCGGTGGTGTGCTAAAGAGAGACTGATCTTTGATCTCTGAGTCTTCTAAATACTGGAACGTTCTGTTGACCAAAATAGGTCCTTTTTTGGGAACCTCTGATGGGGGGAAAAATTAAAATTTCGCTCTTACCACTCGATCCACATTCTTCTTGGCACGACCACTCAAATTGCGATGGCGAATCTTCTTTCCAGTGAATTTCGGCAAGAACTTCATTCCAGCTGTGTGAACTTCTCCAATCGACTGTTTCACTTGCTGTCGAATCTTCTCGTTTACCACACGCTCACTCATCTTTTCAGTTGTATTTTTGACGTTTCGGCGAGCCTGAATTTGAATTCGAATTTATAATGACGAACCATACAGGTATAAAACCTTACCCTAGCTTGCAAAGCCAACAAGTTCTCAACGGAGAACTCGACAATCGGACGATGATCTTTTGTGAAAGTGTCCGGATTGTTGTTGAGTTTTTTCAGACACTCCAGTGCGTGCATGTGCTCTTTGAAAGCAATGAAACCGAATCCAGAAGACTTGGGTTTACCGTCAGGAGTCAGTCTCTTTTTATCCAGCCATACACGACACTCGGTGACGACGGCACCGGCTGAAGTGGATTTCTGAGCAAGTTCTTTGAGTTTGACGTCGTTGACTTTTTGTGGAAGATTATGAATACACAATCGGACAGGGGAAATGAACATGTTAGTGTTCTCCAACTTCTTTCTCATTGCCTCTGCGATTCTTTCTCTTTTCGTCGCATCTTCTTTACTCATTCCAGCGGCTGCAGCAGTTCCATCACGAATCAATCCGAATCTGGCCAATCTCAAATTTCTCTTATCCTTTGGCACCTTCGTCAACTTGTCCTTCTCCATATCGGCTGCCTCTTTTCTTGGAATCGCCAAATTCGCTTTAACCAGACGATTATCAATGATCAGGCCATCTTCAATTCCTTCGATACAATTCGATGCTTCCAGTGGAGTAGAGAAGTGCACAAAGGCGGTTCCTTTAGAGTGACCGCTATCTTTATACTTGCAAATGATAGCCAAATCGATTTGACCGAATTTCGAGAGCTCTTCTTTGATTTGTTCAACCTTCGTCTCGAATGAAAGATTTCGGAGGAAGACTACTTTGCCATCGGTGATGGCTTGATCGGTTTTGCGTTCAGCTGTTGGCTTTTTCTTCTTCTTCTTCTTATCATCTTCCTCGTCGTCTTCATCGTCTTCGTCTTCAGAATCTTCCTCTTTGTCCACATCTTCTTCTTCCTCCTCATCTCTTTCCTCTTCGTCAACTTCTTCTTCCTCTTCATCATCCTCGAACTTCTTCACGTTCGTTTTTTTCTTCGCATCTTCTACCTCTTCTATCTTAACTTTCTTCTTCAAATGCTCCTTCTCATCGTGCGCATTAGTCTCATAGGTATCCTTATCCAGAGCCCAATCAGCGGCAACCGCTCTTCCGAGAATCTTATTACTGTTGAAGTACTCTCTTCCTTTCTCGGCATCTTCTTTTTTGACGAATTGAATAAATCCAAATCCAGCAGAAGTCTTGGGATCTTTCTTCGATGGTGGAAGCACGATTTCAGCGAATGGTCCGATATTTGAGCAAATGTTTTGTAGGTCTTCCTTCTTCGTTTTGAATGGAAGATTACGAATAATCAAACGCCATTCCTTGGTTTTAGCTCTCTCGAACTTCAGTCGAACTGCCGATTTCTCTCCGGTACTCTGAGAAGAGTCCTCAGCTTTCGGCCTCTTTAGCAGTGGTTGGCGATTGGCTGAAAAATGTCTCGCATGTATATTTTCAGGTAAACATGTAATCCCACCGTTTCTGTGTTCAAATTCTTCTGATTCTCCGTACTTCTCCTCGCCTTCATCTTGCTGCCAGCTATTATAGTTGCGTTTCTGGCTGTATCCGTAGTTATTGAAACCGCCGCGATACGATGAATATCCTCCGCGACTCATTTCTGAAGGTTTTTGGCAACAATTAGGAAATCAAGTTGTAAAAACGAAGAACCCAAAAGCTTCTAATGTTTTTAAATGAAAATTGAATATTTTGAGTGATTAAATTGATTATTATTGGGGGAAATAGTTTGAAAATTGAGAAAAAGGCAACCATTTTGCGAAAATACTCTCGTCTCTCTTACTCTCTCATGCGTGCAAACAGGGCGCGTTTGCAGACATCATTCGCGGGAGTTTAAATAATGTTATTTTTCGATGCGATAACGAGTAAAATATATTTACATGAGAATATTCTCTAAAATCCATTTATTTTTCAATATAAAACTTGAAACTTATGGCAAGAAAAAGAATAAGCAATACATATATTTTTAGGTACAAAATTATAACGATGCACGCTCTCCCACAGAACAATTCCGAACTGCAAATTAATTTTTGATCTACAGAAAAAAGTTTGGCGCGATCACAATTGCAGGTCTAAAGCCATAATTTCCGAATTTTTTATCAGATTTTGTGGAGATTCAAGATGATTCAAATGATTCTTAAGAAATTAATTAGTTGTTATAGATTGGTCGTTGTCCGGAAGAAAAAAATGTCAAAAATGGTCATTTTGAAAGTTTTTTACAGAAAAAATCTATCTCCTCTTTCAGTTTTTGACATTTCTTGGAGTTATATAGCTCAAAAAAACCGCAATTATTTTCTCTACATTTTCTATGGATGAA